TTGCCTAGTGCAACATAAATCCTCAATTTTTCGTTAGGCATTTGTACAATTATACAGTGCAATCTAAGCCCTAACTCTTATTAGGATTTCGAGGTTGTCGTTCGTCACGACTTAAATCCTCATATCTTTCAGACTGTTTGTGTGATCGTTTCATACGAATATAAGCTCTAATTAAATAAAATTGGCAGGATGACACACTTGAATAATTTTTCCTCAAAACTGAAGTCAAACCATAGGGTAGACCGGGAAGTCACCGAGGTTCTCCTTCGGATCTGTGACATCCCCTAGTTCTTCCTCCTTTGGATTCTCTAATAAATGTTCCAAGTTTGAATAATTCCCCTGTACACACCTCTTTGTCCGGTTTCGTTGAAAAGTCATATCCTTTTGACCTCATTGAAGATAATTTCTCCTGATTTTTATCAAGAGTATTCTTAGATGACTACGGCCGTCTAAGATGTAATTAACTATAGATGATTGCCCTTATAGGAAGCTTTTTTTAACCCAGCTTAAAATAAACCCTATTTAATTTTTCATATTAAATAGGGGAATTTGTCGGCAAACAAAACGGTTTTGCAGACCAAACGGATGTCATATCTTTCTTAGTTTATTTTATCGAGCTTCATCCTCAGGTCTTGTGAGGGTTTATCCTTCGAGATAGATACAAGATTTGAGGTAAAGGGTTTATCCTTCAAGATAGATACAAGATTTGAGGTAAAACGCTCTTTCATTTAAACTATGAAAAATATGAGGTAAGTTTGATTTTCATATTTTTCTAAACTTAAATCTATATGTAAATTAAACGTCTTTTCGGAGCGGGCGACGGGATTTTGATTCCGGTGACCGACAGCTTCCTACGGGCAACTCCCCCAACCTTTTTTTAGTGCTGACAATACATATATAATAAAAATAATTTCTATCATATATTTTAATTAAAATTGAAAGATTTATGATTTAATCATAACAACATAATTAAAAATAAATATGAAAGATTATAATCTAAATTAAAATAATGAAATAAGAAAATAATAAGTAATAACAATTAATTAGCATTTGTGATAAAAAAAATTATTAATATGTATATTTTTATATTATAGGCATTCAATTGAAGGAACTGCGGCTTAAGAAATAAGTTGTGAAGAACATTGAAGTGAGTGCTGATATTCTTATGTTATATTAATATTTTGCTTCTTTTCGAGCAAATACATTTATTGTTACTATTATATTTATATCACTACATACCTATAATTTATGATTCTATTAAATTTTTGTTCATAGTGTAGAAATGACATGTACACTCAACATTTTTTAAATTATCATAGATATTGAATCATGTACAAGTATAAAGGTATATGTGCACGTAAATGAAAAAAAAATATTGATAGTGAAGTCTTAACTGGTACAATTTTTAGATGATGCCCCGGACAAGATTGTACAAATATAAAATAATATAGACAATTTATTGATATGATAAAACACCTCGAATATTATGAAAGATCGTAAGTAATTGTATTCATATACTATATAATATTTTATACTGATTTATTAAAATCTTAACTGGCATACATATTATTTATTTTTTACTGTGTTACTGTCGTTTAGGAGAGTGAGTATTCACTGGCTATAGTTAGCACGCTGAGTGATTTAAAAAATATCCAATAGAAGAAGAAATATTCACAGAAGACACGAACAATTAGTAATGAAAAAGATTTAATTGTCCCTCTTTAATTTACTTTAGTAATTTTTTCATTAATTAAATATTAGTTATAGAAAATAAATATAGAAAATTGTTATGTTTTAATTTACTTTTCGTGTTTTTACCTCACATTTGTCTTGTATGGAAATTCCTAGTAATATGCAGGATGCTTTAAAACTACCTAACTGGAAAGACGTTGTTTTCGAGGAAATGAAAGCTCTTAAAAAAATGGTACGTTGAAATTGATGTGTTTACCTAGAGGAAAGACAACTATCGGGTGCAAATGGGAGTTTACAATCAAGTATAATTCTGATGGCTCAATTGGTTGATAAGAGATTCACTCAAACCAATGACATTGATTATTTAGAGACATTTGCCTCAGTCGCAAAACTAAACTCTATAAGGGTTCTTCTGTCACTTGAAGCTAATCTTAACTGGCCTCTACAACAGTTGGATATAAAGAATGTCTTTCTTAATTAACCCTAAACCCTAAACAAATAACAAAAATCTTCACCAAAAAATTGTTCAGGCCTAGTTTTGAGCTCCTTGTAAGCAGATTGGACATGATAGATATATAAGCTCCAACTTAAGAAGGTGTTGGAATTTTAGAAAGATTTTATTTTTAGTATCTTATATTTTAATATTTTTTATTTTTAGAATTTAGAATTATTACTGATTTTATATTTTTTCAGAATATGGGAGTAATCCTCCTCTATTTATCTTGAAATCGATTACTATGAAATTGAAGAGGAATAATTAATTTTTTCCCTCCAAAAACTATATATATATATATATATATATATATATATATATATATATATAAACACAAAAAAAAAATCTATTTTTTGTTACATTTGTGTGATTAATTATTGAGGTAAAATATGAGTTTTTTTAGTAAATTGATTATGTGGCATTTAATTTTCTCTCCTAATTTCAAATTTGATTTTTCATATTGCCTCATTTTTATATTTATTTTATTATTATTTTGCAGCAATTTATATTTTAAGACGGTGTTTGATAGCATACGTTTATTAATATTTATTTGTGAATTTAACATAAATCTACCAAAATATAAAATAGTAGAACTAAATCTAACAGTTTGATAAATTCCCTTATATATATATATATATATATAACCACAAAAAAAGAATCTAATAGTTTTTATTTTTCATGTCTACTACGTACAGAGAATGTATCTTATAATGCCAGCATTGCTTGTTTCTTTGCTCTCATTTATAAATATTTTCAGATTGACTGTCAAACATTTTTAAACTGCTTAGTAAGTTTTTAATAAGCGAACTTCATGTATGAAAGGAATTATTGAATTTTCTATTTTGCATATTTCCTTAATATTTCAATTGTGGATAAGCGCTAATCTCTCATCATAAAAAATGTGCAAATTGATTTATTAATTATGTTCAAGTAATGAACCTTGTTCTCTTCCTAACGGAGGAAACTGAGTATTTAAATAATAAAAAGTTACCTTCCACAAATTTGACACAATCCACTGTAAAAATATCAGATAAAATTCTTACCATGGCCAGGAGAGTTTAACAAACTGTTCATAAGTATCGTATCATATCCAACAAAACTGTTAATAAGAAGCTGCTTCCACCTAAAAAAAGCACAAAGGGAAAAAAAATGTCAACAAAACGCCATCTAAAAATCAGAAGAAAATAGCATTCATGCAGGTTAACGCCGTAGCTGCCTAGGAAGCCAACAAAAACAATTTTGTTCGAATTCATTTCATGATTTCTAAGAAAATGATAAACACAATGAAAATAAGAAAAAAAATTTCAAGAGGTAAAATACAAAACAAATCCAAAATAGCAAAGGTTTGACAAGAAGTAGTAAGCTTAAACACCATAGATTTTCATATTCAACAAAATACAGTCTCACATGAAATTTTTGAAGGTCAAGAGTGAGCGACATTCTAAGGTCCTCCACACCTGTAAGTCAGGTAGTGTCAGAACCACACCATTGTAAATTCCTCAACTTTACTACACCTTCCATGTCCCCATCATGACGTTGAAGCTCCCTGTAGTCACCAGCTCCAATCCTAGCTTCTCCATCACCTGATTTGAGATAAAGTTGTGTGTGGCCCTGCTGTCTATCAACACCACAATCGATTGTTGCTCGATCCACCCCTTCACCTTCATGGTGTGATTCGAGGTAAAACCCACCACCGAATTAAGAGACACCTCTACTACATCCAAATGCAGATGCTCTTCTTCCACCACATCCTTCTCTGATTCCTCACTCTCCGTCCCTCCTCTTGAACTAACAGATCTGAAGGGCACGCTCCTTGCAACGGTGGCCTGGGGCATATTTCTCGTCATGGTGGCAACATAATCCTTTCGCTCTTTTATCCTGCACTTATGCGTCGATGAGACGCTTGAAATTACCCCCGGGATGGGTCCTTGTATTCTTCTCCTTGGGTATCTCTTTCAAAAATGACATTGTCTGGGTCCTCGGTTTCGTGTCTATCAGGATGCTTTTGTACAATCTACCAAGGTTGTCGTGTTTGTTCGCCTTTTTCACATGGATGCTTTTGTACAATCTACCAAGGTTGTCGTGTTTGTTCGCCTTTTTCACATGTTTCTTATCTTCTATCATCAGGGTGAGCTCCATAATTTTCCCGAATCCACGTGGTCTAAAGGGTCGAATGGCAGCTAGTATGTTGGGTTTTAGGCCATTCAAGAAGTTCTGTTCCAGACTTGTTGCAAAAATACCCCTAAACCTCTCTGACAAGAGCTCGAACTTCTTCCAGTATTCTGTAACCGTCCCCTCCTGAGTCAAAACATAGAATTGCTCGTGAAGGTCTCCTTCCCGAATGGCTTGGAAACGCTCCAACAAGCAATCCTTAAACTCCTCCAATGAGTGCATCGAATACATTGCCTCCATCCACTGGAACCACACTAAAGTTTTTCCCTCCAAACATAATCTCGCTGTCATGAGCTCCTCTTCCTCTGTTAACCCATTGATCGCAAAGTATCGCTCCATCCTGCACATTACCTATGTGCATCTCCCCCTTCAAAGATCGACATCTTCAATTGCAACTTCACACCAACTCCCTCTTCATCTGGCATTTCCCCCCATATATCTAGGGTGGAACTCCCTCCTCCGGTCATAGGCATACCCCACTCCCAATTCCCTGCTGCCTCCATCATGCTCTTCCATGCCCCTTAGACCATACCTCCAATTTTCAGCTCATCCCTCTCCATTTATAGTCTCCACTCCCCCTCCTCTTGGAGTCCTAAGGGAACGCTCTTATTGGTAGGTGATGTCTTCCTCGTTGTCTTCTTGCTTAATCTCCTTCCCTTTTGACCTAGCCAAGGATTACCTAATCAAGCCTTGGTTAGGGTTTGCAACCGAAGCGGTTGGCATGGCCTTAGACTGCATTTCCATGAGTTTATTCATCATCTCCCGCATTTCTCCTATGCTTTCAAATCTATCCTCTATTCGACTTTCTATGGAAGAAAACCTGTCCGACATGGTAAAGAATCCTTCTTCCATTCCCGATCTCTCCTTCTAGCGCATCCACTTTTTTTGCTGCATCCCACAAAGTTCAATGCTCTGATACCAATTTGATACGCTCCGGAACAAAAATCAGCGAGCAAACGAAAGCGAAATAGAAATAGATAGATGGAAAACTCAAACGAGTGCTACTCTTATAAAAAAAATAAAGGAAAACAAGCAAGCTACAATGGTGATCTACTTTTCGAGAGGTGGATTGACTCTCCCACAACCCTAGAGATCGCTAGGAACACCACAAAAGAAAAAGAAAATAACAACCAACAAAAAAATGAATAAAGAAAAACAAACCCTCACATGGCATTTCAAACTTTTTTTCCAGATGTTCCCTCCAAACTTCTTTAATTTCTCCTCCTTAAATATGTGATTAAGGCCCTCCTGAACCCCACCTACTCCCTGTCTTCTTTTATCGCATCAAACGATCGCCGATCACCCTTTCTCGTGTACGCGATCGGCCCGCCTAGTCCAGGGGCGGGTCAATTGGAGGGCTCTTGACCGGTCCTTTTTGGATCTGTCCACATGTGGGAGGCGTAACAGACAAACTTCCAATAGATTACAACAAGCAGCTACAACAACGACAACTTTCCTCTATACTCAACTGTCTCCACTGCAGTCAAGTAGAAGCAATCCTAAAAACTTGAAAGGTTGATAACCAAGTACGGGATGAAGACATCAAGTTCTACTCCAGAGGTTAATTATGAATAAGAGACAAAAATTCTGTCCAGACGACTCCTGGACTCTCTAACTTTATCAAAAATCATAAACACCATGATCATAACTATCTTCAATTATCTCAATCTGTGCTTATGTGCATTTGTGATAAAGAAAAAGAGAAACATCTCACGGAATAAGACACGATTTCTGAGGTCACAAACCCCAACCACCGCACATGAAAGAATCGAGATCGTATGATTAGGTCTTGTCTAGTCAACTCAATGAACACTAAAGTGGGAGAAAATTTTCTGCTCTATAAAACAACAAAAAAAATCAGGGAGGTTGCAATAGAAATATATTCAACACTGAGAACACTGCAGAGTTGTTTAAGATCGAAAAAAAACTTCTTGATCTTCGTCAAGGGCAGCTAAGTATCACCCAGTACTTTAACCCACTACAATTTGATATGTTTGAGACACATGTGGAAATATCTATATTGTGTCAAATTCCTAATAGGGCTAACTCAGGAATTGAATGAAGAGAGAGGGAGGATCATGGGAATAAGACCTCTTCTATCTATCCGTGAAGCCTTTGCTGAAGTCAGGAGAGAAGAGAGCAGAAAGGATTTGATGTTGTCTGGAAATGAGGGATTACAAAGTATTGAAACCTCGGGTCTGCACACTCTTAATTCCTCTCATGACTCAAAGCATAAGAAGATTCGTCTCACATGTGACTATTGTAAGAAAATTGGACATATAAATGACAAATGTTGAAAACTTCATGAAAGTCAACAGACTGAAAACCTGGACGAGGAAAAGAAGATCAAGAGAAAAAGACCAATGCAACTGCCACATCCGAAGGGGTTAGACCATTCACCAAAGAATAGCTTGAAGTACTGAAAAAAACTTCTTGAAGGTAATTCAAAGTAGAACACCAACCTCGTGACACACTAAGGTAATTTATCCTTCTCTCATCTTGACAATATCGAGAGACTTAGAACTTGAATCATAGATTCAAAAGCCTCTGATTATATGACCGGATACATCAATGTTTTAGTCAACTATCAAGAATATTCTACATCTAGATTGGTAAGACTTGTTGACTGATCACACTCAAACATTGCTATGAAAGGAGATGAGGAACTCTTTCGAGATATTACTCTTTATTATATATGTTCCACAGTCGAACTGCATTTTGATTTCGATTAGTAAGCTTACTCATGATATAAAATGTATAACTAAAATTCTTACAAATTCTTGTAAATTTTAGATGGTGGAGTCAGAGAAAGTGATTGGCGGTGCTGAAATGCATCAAAACTTATACCTGCTCAATAAAATTATCTCTAAATACAAACGATCTCACCTACATATTTATCACAAAGTTCTAAACCTATTTAATTCATGTTTATCGAAAATTAAATCTTGTTATAGCATTACCGTCTAGATCATCTTTATATCAATTATGTTGCTAAATTGGGTGCCCATTTGGTTATCAATAAAAAATCTAAATTTTATCGATGTAATGTGTGATTTGTCAACTTGTCAAACACACAAGAAATGGTTCTCATGACCTAGTACAAAGCTTCACACCCTTTTTTCTATTATCCACAATGATAATTGGAGAGCCTCAAAGGTAAAAACTTTAAGTGGGGCCAGATAATATGTCACATTTATTGACGATCGCACTAGAATCACTTGAATATTTATAATCAAGGAGAAATTTGAAATAGCCCAAATCTTCCAAAACTTCCATAATATCATTCAAACTCAACTCCAATGCAAAATTTAGATCCTCAAAACTGATAATACAAAAGAATATTTCGACTCCATCCATGGGTCCAATTTTCAAAAAATGGAATCATCCATACAAGTATGTACTGACACCTCACAATAAAATAGAATAGCTGACTGAAAAAACAGACATCTCCATCAGGTATCCTGCTCATCATGTTGTAAGATATTGTTGGGGGGAAGTAGTTCTTACTACAACATACCTTATTAATCGAATGTCTAGCCGAGTAAAATTTAAAACACATATCCATGTTTTGATGGTTTCATAGATTCTTACTTTTCCGCTCCACCCGTCACACTATCCCTCCTGCAGCCTCAGTATCTTCACCTCCGGAACCCGGAAGCAATCCATTATGGCATATGTAAAGCACTCTTGATGCTCTGCATTTGCATCCAAGTAAGAGCCTCTAAGTCTGGCTGTCAATGCCCTTCCCGTAATAAGCTATCATATCGCCGCGGGGTCTAAAAAAAAAGCTTCGTCATGAGCCATGAATAGCCATTATGACCTCAAGGCTTATGAGGTACGTCATTCCTGGATGCCCATAGTTTGCCATCCCATAAACTCTTTTTCAATTTGTAGTTGGCAAAAGGAGTGAAAACCGCAATACGTCTATCATGTGGATGGGCCAGGGATCTGAGTTTTCTCAAGTACAAGATGTTTCAAATAGAAAACCCTTTCTTCTTTAGCTCTTTAGGGCAATCCCCAGTAGAGGTATCCCGCTCAATTATAATATCTCATCACATTACAAGATATTTTTGGGGAGAAGTAGTTCTTACTACCAAATTCCTCATCAATCAAATGTCTAGTCAAGCCCTTAAATTTAAAACACCTATTCATGTTTTGATGGTTACATATCCTCACATCAGAAATTTTTCTTCTGCTATACACAAAATCTTTGAGTGTGCATCATTAGTTCATGTCATTCCCATAATCACACAAAACTTGATCTTAAAAATGTCAAGTATATTTTTCTCGAGTATGCGACCAATAAAAAAGGGTACAATTGCTACTCTCCTATGAAACGATTATTAGGTTAGGTCGTCAGTTGTCCTCTCTAATATCAGGTAGTTTTGGGAAGGAAAAAATAATTATTCCCCTTATGAAATGATTACAAAATAAATAGAGGAGGATGGGTCCCATTAGAAACATCATAAATTAATCATAACTTCCCGCGATAAAAAAAAAAAGAAACAAGAGTTATAACATACCAATAATACAAAGCTATAATAAGAAAATAAAAATAAAAGATGTTAAAAAAAAAACTTCCTAAATAATTTCAACACTATCAAATGTCACTTCATGCCTATCCGTTCTCATTTCTACCATCTTCAAATTAGCTATCAATGACTTATTTACTACCCAATAGTCAAGTGCATAAAAAGTAATTAAATTACTAGTAATTTTATAAAATTTACCTTCTGGCATCCATACATTCTCATATTATTTTGTGTTTTAATAAACTTCATTTTAATCACCATGCTTTATTTATGAAAGCTAAATTCTCATTTATGCCCTAATTCTTTTGCATTAATAGAATAAAGATATTTATATCTGTCGTAATTATTTATGACATTATCCACTAGTTATATAGATGCATAATTAGAGATATAATACCCACTAACAATTTATTCATCAATTGCTGAAATTATATCTACATAACATTCAACAAGAAGTCTTACTTTGAATATCTATTATCAGCAGCTTTCAAAACCAATGCAAAAATATGTAGACTTAATATTGTTACTCATGCAAAATTATCGTGATTAAAAACCGCTCCATCACCCCACAACAGATAATAATGCTAGAAAATGCTTCATCATACACATACAGTTAACAACTACAACGTACCTTTTGAAATATTTGTTCACTGTGTTTGCACCAAATCAATTCCTCATGTAAACCATGATCAATAATACCGCCAATGAAGATCTATCATTTGCTATTTATAATTTATCTTTGCATTACTTTCCTAAGTAAAAAAATACAGTCTTTTTTAAAAATATGGCCCAATAGCCACCCCCAAGACTTCAATGTACAACTACTTAAATTTAATTATTTATAATTGTCTCGTTGTCATAATCCAACGCATAATATAGGAACAAAAAATTATTCTTCTTCATCAGATTTTTTTAAACCACCAACAGCTTTGGGAGATGGACCCCTCAATAATTTCAATTATTTGACATCCTCTAAGTTATCTAAAGTCCGTAGAAAAGGTTTGTCAATTAAACAACCTCAATAGCACCCATAACTCCCAAATCTCTAAAGATAATATATCTAGGCCCAAAGATTTACATGTACACATGTTCATCAAAGCAAACTCCTCTTCAATTTTTCCAATCAATAGATAATATGCCACATTTTTTGTCTATCATGCTCTTCTAAAAATATTTCTTCCTTGAAATTCTCATTTACAATTTCTCACAATAGCATTCACAGCTTTTTAAGTGTTTGTTTTTCACTAAGATATCATTAACATCACTTTTAATGCTTGATCAAAACCTCGATATCTTTAATCTTCATTACATATATCTCATTTTCCATTCTTGAACCCATACATGACACAAATAATTAGAATTTATAGCTTTTGCTTCGTCCAAAAAATAAAAAATTAATATTTAGTTGTCCAACTTCAAATTTCAATAGGATAGTTTGGTTGTTTCATGGTATTATGAACTTGACGAGTTGATAAAGGGCCCGCTTGGGGCAGCTTATTGGTGCGGTGGGCGTTTTGGCGTTTGTTTCGCAGGTATCGATCGCGATATGAAATCGTCGGACGTTGTTCTTTCATTATTCGCGACCGCGCCTCCAGCCCTACGTTCTGCGTTTCGTTCGAGTGTATTACCCTCGAGCCACTCATCCCCGATATCTCCCTTCGCTTCTCCTCTCCGATCTCTCGCGATTTTCTCCCAAGCAGTCCCGGTCGCAGTTGATCGAAGCCGGCTCCAGGCGGAGAACAAAGGTTTCTGAGAAATAGGACCGCTTTCTGGGCGGCGGCATCTCCTTCAGCTTCGTCACCGAGCTCACCGATGAAGCTTCCTCTGGCAAAACTCAGCTCTATCTTCAAATAGTCCTCTCCGCCGCATCCCCCAGCTCTTCTGGCGACATACCTTCTGCTTCTCTCTTCATCTCCACCGAACCCCCCTTTCCTCTCCGCCGTCTCCTCTCCCTCCCTGCTCCAGGTGAGGATCTGCTTGACAGTAATTATTTTCTGCTTTATAACAAAATTCCAGGGGTGATATGAAATGGATTGGAGGGCTTTATTGGAAAACCATCTAAGCCTATACCTTCTACCTATATAAAAACAGATGAAAAGAAAAGCTAATTTACATAGTAGAAATTCTCTTTTATGTCTTTATATAGTTTGTTGTATAATTTTTTAGCTATGGCATTCATATTATAAGGGCCATAAATTGAAAACAGGCAATGAGATTGGAGTCTTCTTCCACTTACCAGTGTAAGGTTTCCCAAGTCCACTGGTCAATTTTCAATGATACAATTGTTTGAAAGATTTCAAATGATCAATTAATGCTAGAATCTTATCTTTGAATATAGTAACGTGCATATAAGTTCGTTTTCATTGGATGAATCAAGTCAAAATAAGCACATAAACAGGGTCTTATGAAACAGCTTAACCAAACAGGGACAGAATGTTCATTTATTCAACAACAGCTCCCAGTAAGTTGTTCTGAATAAGCTGCCCCAAACAGCAAGCCAGTTTATTTTTATTATCTGCAGATTATCAGATTATCAGAATAATCTGTTTATCAACAGATTATAAATAATCAATGGCTGCCCCAAACAGACCCAAAGCCTGCAAAAGGGGCCAGACCAAAATTAATTTTTCTCAAATATGTTGCCAACTATTACAAATAAGTTGAATGAGAACTAACCTACAAAATGCATGGTGCTAAACACACTAAAAAACATTTTATACTTTTGTCATGATATTTCGCTTCCAAATTCTTCAAAATTTCAGAAAAAAAAAATTATCATATAGTTTACTAATTAACTAGGAGAGTCGTTTTGAAATCACGTCCAGTTTAGGACATTTATGCTGGAAACAAGCATTCTGCCGTTGTTACCATTTCATCTGTCTCCATCTAAGAACATTAACCACTAAAATCATAAGTATAACAAAGCAGTTCATTGCTGAGAAATTAAAAATAATATCTATCTAATTTACCATTCTTGAACATACTGCAAAAAGGAATCCAAGCAGTAAAGTCGCGCAGAAAAATCTTAATCAGATTCCAGTAGTGTTGGCCAACGCTAAAAAAACTATTACAAACTACAAAAAAGTTATGATTTAATGGTATGCATGAAAAGACCATGATATCAGCCAAAACAGTCTTTAACGCAATGCAATCTGTGAAGCATGCCATGGAAAATTCAAGTTGATAAATAGAAATAATACAAACTTCTAACCGGTTTCCAAAGCATGGATTCTGAGCAGATAGTGTGACATTAACCGTCCGTATGTTGTGCTGAGATTTTGCTCCTTCAGGAAGCAGAAAATAACCCTATAAAATTATTATGGTATTAGATTTTAACACACTAAGAAAGCATGTCCGTCAACAGAGAAGACTAGATTCTTCTGCAAGTGCAGAACCAGCTAAAATATTAAGGGTGGACAAAATTATCAAATATTGAAAATTTGAAAGTAATGGGCAAAAAAACAATTAGAAGATAGCAAAAAATACTTAATTGCCTAAATTACGCAGAAAAAAATATATTAAATATTCTATCATTTATAAGAAATCTGGGCAACTTAACCTAGGTCTGCCATTGTTCTTCTATAAGATCACGGATTAGAAGAAAATCATGTTAGCATGAAATTTCTCAACCTTGAACCCATCAATATCGAAGCAGAAATAATCCAAAGTTGTTACCTTCTCAACAGTGTACAGATATGTCGGCTCAAATGACTTGCTTCTCCTCTCAAGCCACTGCACTGCAATCAAAATAAATCACTTGGTCAAACAAAACAAACAAGACCACAAGCCATAAAAAAAGATTAACATAACAGAGCATAAATCAAAATCAAGGGGACTAAAGGCATTAATAAAATGGCGAATTGTTGGAATATCAACAATGTTTAATGATCTTGATGTAATTAGAAAAGAAAAAATGGCAAAAACTAAAAATGACATCAATAACAATAACAGTGGGGATATAGAATCATGGAATAAGTCTATTAACGGGCTTCTTTGGGATCATTTTTCCTTTCTTTCTTTTGTTTAAAAAGCATGTTGGTATATTGTGTTTTTGCACATATTTTTATTTTTGCTTCTAAAAACAAACTAACATGTTTTTAAAAACACAAAAAATATTTTTAAGTGTTTTTAAAAACAATCATATCGAATCAAAACATAAACAAAACAAAATTAAAATTAAAAATAAAAAACAAAAAAAAGTGATCCTCCGTTCCTCAATTCATGCAAATATGAGGCCATTTGGGATCACTTTTTTTATATTTTATTTTTTATGTTTTAATTTAAAGCAAAACATGTTCAGTATTATAGAACAGGTTTAATTGTTTTCAAAAACACTCAAAATAATTTTTAGAAGTTTTGAGTGTTTTAAAAAACAAGTTAACTTATTTTTAAAAACAAAAAAAAAGCAATAAATACACTAAAGAAATTTTATAAGAAAAAAAGCAAAAACAAAAATAAAAGTGATCCCAAACAAGCCCTACGTATATTAATTCCATTTTTTTTTTGTCACATCAATTTTCCTAAACATATCATGCTGCCTTCTTCCCATCTTAAAAATTTCATACTCTTATCATTTAACCCATCAGATATATAAATACAGAAAACAATAACGTTTCAAAGTTTAAAGTGATCAGATTATTTTCTACCACAAGCTTGTAAATTTCAAGCTTTCCCAGTCCTCCCATATATTGATGATCTCTCAGTCATTACAACCTCTAAATAAAACTATGCACATTTCCTCCATTCCTCGCTCATTTGCTTTCCATCCATGACCTATCAATGATTTTCTAACCAAATACACAGGAAAAACACAAAATAAACAAGTATATTTGATAGTGACACTTTAGCTTCCTTCACCTTTACAATCTGCAAAAACACTTCAGAAGGCCACTTTCGTTTCCATCTTTTTATTCACAATCCACAACTTATAGTTATTGTCAGCGCAAATAAGAGAAATTAGCTGCTTTTTTACTGAATATTCATTAGTATTTTTTTTCCCCATTTAATGGCTTGATTTGATTTTTGCTAATGACCCAAGTCTAATTATCCATGGTTCTTTCAAGACAAAAAAAAAGGAAAATAAATCATATTTTGATTCTCATCTTTCTCCATATATTTCAAGAGCTTTAAATGTTAGAATTATAAATTTCATATTCAATTAATAAAAATATCAATTTTAAAAAAATAGAAAACAATAACATAACAAGAAAGAAATAAAAAGGAAAAAAATAAAAATTTAAGAATAATATAGTTGATGCAGTTCCTAACTGGAACAGAAATGAAAGTAAATATGAAAGTTCAAAACAAAATATTCTTGAAGTTCACTTTAGAGCAGCCACATGTCAAATATATGTTGGAATCCAAACAATACGCAAATTCGAATCTATCTTAAAAAAGTCAGAGAAGTGCTGAATATAAAAGGTTGAGATCCAAACAGGCTATGAACTTAGACTATAAAAAAAAATAATGAAAATAACAAATTTATCTAAAAAAAATCAATAGAGCACAAGAAAAAAGGGAGAAAAAAGATGAGAATCTAGTATCAATTTTCCTTATTACCAACAGTTTGACATGCAACATTGACTTCTATGGATGAATATGACATATGCTCCTTTACTAGTTTTGCTATGCACAATGAAAACTCGAATGCTACGCCGCAAGATTATAATGGAGAAAAAATCAAAATGATTTCTGGGCTATTGGTGTGGAAGACAAATTTTAGTCCCAAATTATAAATGTACTCTTAGCTCCTCAGATATAATTCAAAATATTCATATGTTAAATTATTTTGGATTAATTTGAAGTAAGTTAAGAGACTATTTTGGATCAAATTTGAAGGATTAAGTAACTAAATTGGACAAATTCGACAACGGGGACTAAAAACGAAACCCCACAAAAAGTCTAGAGGACATTTTGACCCTTTTCCTCGATTATAATAAAAAAAATTAATTGAGGATGAAAGAAAAAGGTTACAATTAAAGCCGTACTCACCTGCAAGAGACTTGAAATGTTCAGCACTAACCATCTTTAAGCTTTCTGATAGATCAAGGAATGTTTTCCAGCCTGCAGTATTCTGTATTTCAACCCCTATTTCTTAGAACAGAAATCAATACTCCTAAGCAAATTTTATCTTTTAAGAGAATAAAAGATCTAAATAAATTCAAGCACAGAGATTTTGTTACATAGAGGTATGTTAGATTTTAACTTTAAAATATATGGCCATGTTTGGCAAATTTCCTTCATTTTGTGTTCATTAGAAGAGCCAGAAGATACTTTTTAAAAGATTTAAAGAAAAATAATTCATTTATACCTATTAATGATCCAAAAATTAAGATTATTTTACCTGTTCAAATTTTGATGAAGCTGACCACAATATTTTTATGTAAAATGGTCATAAATCATTATAGGTATATATATTTATGATAGAAAATTTGAGTCCTATAGAATAGTTAATATTGGATAATGTTTAGTATTTGTTAAAACCATTGTAAAATTGTTTAACAATTATTTAATCGTAAAAATAATTATAATAGAAAATATGTTTAAGGTACTTTACAAAAGCATAGAACGACTTAATTTATTTTAATATGATTTTTTAACTTCTAATTTTATAAATCAAGTATGTGTCTCTTTCTAATGATGTTAAAAAAATCCTGAATACGATTCAAAAATGCATAATAAAAATTGAAGTCATTACAAAATTTAGCATCTTATGTCCATAATGCTTTTCCAAAAACATGTTATTAACGTAAATTCATGATTTCATAACTACAGTTTCAAATTATTTTCAATAACATTTACTAACTAGTTTTTTGCTTAATTCATCCATATCCAAAAATCTTAATAAATCTATATCTATAATGTAATCGAAAATTCACTTGTGATTTCACTTGAATAAGATTCCAACCATTTATTTTGAATATATGTATGTGTGTGTGTGTGTGTGTGTGTGTGTGTGTGTGTGTAAAATGGTGATCGCCGATTAACCCCATAGTCTGACCGAGAAGCGGACCCCATTCCATAAAGGTATGCAATTCGATCCTACGCAGGGATCGAACCTCCAACCCGAGGGACTTACACCAAAGACCGCAACAAATGGTCAGGCTAAGGCGCACGCGCGCGCATATACACACACACACACACAATCTCAAAAAAGAAAAAATACACATAATATCAAAAAATCAAAACCACCAAACGGGCGCAAAGCACTAGGGACGTCCCAATTTAGTCCTCTATCTGCCTCTAGTTCTCGGAAGGGAGCCGGCTAACAAATTGGTGAGATGCGTACCATTACCCGAAGTAACCAAAGTATCATCCATCAGATTCCCAAGCTCAAGTAGGTCTGAGGTGGAGGTGTTGATGGTGACATTGAGAACTGGAGTGGTCGAACATACGATAGTTCGAACAATACGAAGGGAATGACGCAATCACAACCTTTTGCCAATATCCATAGTGTTATGTGTCGAACCAAATTTACTTAGAAACGGGTAAAGTGATGTCCCTTTCAACAAATACTCTGGCTTCAGATGAGCGGGAAAGATTAAAAGTATGAATTTCTGTTTCGAGTGACTTACTATAAGCTGAGGCAATAGAGTACAACACTTTTTTGAGTAAAATAATGAAATATCAGACCAGGGAGGCGAATCCAAACCGGAATGATTGGTGGTTTCTGTCTGTGGGTTAAAATCCACCGACCATTTCAAAATCTTCATTGTTCTGTTATCAATCCAGATTACTCTTCTAGCAAATAGTCATGTGTAATCATTTTCATTATTAAGTTAAATAAGAATGTGTTTTTCATCTAAAACTTCAATTTTCCACTCAACAAAATGCATAAGCTCAAATTCCTTACAAATAACTTCATTTTAAGATGGCCATAAAGAATATGAGGAAACAAGTTGAATATTGTTGACCTCACTTTTGGTTGAGGTCTAGCTTCCTCATCTTTAGTAGCTTAGGGTCTAATCATAGGACTTTCTTGTTGATTATTTCTAAAAAACTAGAAAAAGAACCCTCACCATTAGAAACTCTAAATCATTCTTTGCTCAGCTTGAAGTTCCACATATTGGTCCTAACCTCTAGCACTTAGTAAGTGGGGTCAATGTGGGGGAGCTCAAGGTGAATCCCCATAAGACTGCTTGGGCTTAGGATTGACCCTGGAAGTTAGTCTGGAGCTAGATCACTTACTTTCACTATCATTCACTCACAACCCTAAACCCAAACTTGTTGACTTTGATCACTTGATCCTTCGGGAGACTCATGTAGATGGTCTCCTAGACCCTCTAGCCCTAGGTTGAGGTTTAGCTAACACCAATACATAGAAGACCCAAATGGAGATTTCATTGGTCAGTGGCTCAAATCAGGATGGTTGGCATGTCGATTTCACCAAAATACCCAACTCAGTCATTTGCCCCTAAAACCAATTTGGACTCTTCAATTGAGCTCAATTTTGATCCAAGTTAAACACCCAATTTTGACCCTATGACCTAATCTCACCTATCTAATTGAACTCCATAGTCTACTCAATTTACCCCAATTTGAATCTTAAACTCTTCATAACAATCCTTCACATCAAATTGGACATTTAATTGGCCTTGGTCAAGCCTTAATTTTACTCAATTTTAACCCACATTCAAAATCCTCAAATTTGCCCCAAATTGGCTATGTTCCCAAATTCCACCTAATTGAATGCCCTAACCTCAAAATTGGCACCCAATTAAAGTTGAGAACTCTTCATGATATTCCCCTAGATCATTTTCAACCATCAATTTGAACCTAACCCAACACTAGCCCAACATAAACCCAAGTCTAACCCAAAATCCCCATATTCACCAAATGACCAAAACTCACCAAATTGAACCTCCAAACCAATTGAAAATCACTTCAAATCTTTTCTAAACCTCTTGTGACAACCATCTACACCATCCTGATCAATTGAGCCCGAACCAAAATTTTAATGAAAATCGAATTTGACGTGTTTTTTGACCCGATCGTCGACGAGGTTGTCCGAACGACCCCGGATGACGAAACGGACTACGACGGCATGTTCAGAACGTCAATTTTACCTGGGGAGGACACCCATTTTAATGTGGTTCCGTGCACGCACAAATTGAGGATTTCGGATAATAAATATTATAAAAAAAATATATTCTTTTTTTTACCTAAACCCCTAAACCCTTAAAACCCTCAAGCTTCCTCCCTCAAGCTTCCTCCCCCATCCGGTTCGCACGCTTGAGCCTTATCGCCTGGCTCACGCGATAGGGGGATGGGATCTCCTGTTTGCGCATTCTCTCCCATCTGCTGCTCTTGCGCACATCCCCTGTCGCGATCCCTTCGCCGACCTATGCGATCCCATCGTCGAACCCTGCTCCTCTCTGTAGCATTTTGTCGCCACTCTCTCCCGCCTCCCGCGACTTTGGTTATAAAAACCCCATCTGGTGGGTGGGGGGGGTCTTGGGGGTTGGCCAAAATTTTGGTGTGAAGGGGAGGTGCTGTCGGATTGCTGCTGGTCTTACTCTTGCTTTCCTTGTGTGCTCTACATTAAGTGGTAACCTCTTCCCCACATCCTCCTTTCTTCAAGCTTTTGAAGGAATTATTTGTTGTGCTCATAATTCATAAAGAAGTGTTTAGGCGATTTTTTTTTTCTAATGATTTCTTGCCTGACGATATGAGTAATCTTTCTATTCTGCGTCACTTGGAATTTGCCCCTGAATGCATATTCTAACTGCACCTAGAATTGGGAAATTAAGGTCACTTAAAGAACTAATTGAGTTTAGTGTTAAGAATAGAAGTTGGGGGGGGGGGGGTTTGGCCAAAATTTTGGTGTGTGGGGGGGTTGGATTTGGTCTTACTCTTGCTTTTCTTGTGTGCTCTACACTAAGTGATAACCTCTTCCCCACATCCTCCTTTCTTCAAGCCTTTGAAGGAATTATCTGTTGTGCTCATAATTCATAAAGAAGTGTTTAGGCGATTTTTTTTTTTTCTGATGATTTCTTGCCTGGCGATATGAGTAATCTTTCTATTCTACGTCACTTGAAATTTGCCCCTGAATGCATATTCTAATTGCACCTAGAATTGGGAAATTAAGGTCACTTTAAGAACTAATTGAGTTTAGTGTTAAGAATAGGAGTGGTTATCGAATTTGTGAGTTGGAACATATGAGCAAGTTGCACGGATTAAGAATACAGTTTTTTTTTTTCATGAAAAGAATACAGTTTTTTTTTTCATGAAAAATGTTAAGGATGCTAGAAAGGCTTGCACTGTGAAATTACTTGAGAAGAGAAAACTCAGATTTATTCTTGAATTGGGGCTTAGCTTTGGCTTCCCATGGCTGTTCTCTTCGCTTGGATCGCATGTTGGATGAAAATTAAATTTCTTTTCTTTATTTTAGACCTCTTGGGGCTTATTTTGAGGTCTCGATTTGGCTCTATCGTTGTGGTTTACCTATCCGAAATATATCCTAGATGGAATGTCGATTTTGGGGCCTGTTTTGGTGGCTTGGTTTTGCTTCCCAGCTGCTTCATTTTGTTTGAAACACGTATTGCATGGAAATTTTGGTTTTAAAGCCCCTGGAACTTATGTGGGTGGCCCCTTTTTTTGGCTTTCATGCTTCCTGTTATCCACTTACTCGGATCACATGTTGAATGGGACTTTTTGGCCCTATGATGGGCTCGGTTTTGCCCCTGTGCTGGGTTCGGTTTTGACTTGTGATGGCTCGGTTTTGGTCACCTGCTGGGTTGAGTCTTACCTTTGGGTTGGCTTTGTTTTGAGCATGCCTTGGGCTCGATTTTTGGCTTGGTTGGGTCCTGCTTTTGGTGAGATATGTGGCTTGGTTTTGGCCTTATAGTGGCCCGGTTTTGGCCTCGTGATGGCTTCGGTTTTGACTTATGAGGTGCTCGGTTTTGGGCTCCAGTGTGGCCCTGTTTTGGCTTGTGATGTGGTTTAGCTTTAACTTTGATTGAGCCCTTTTTTAGTGTGAAATGTGCCTCGGTTTGAGGCTTGATTCCTGAGCTTTATATTGCTGCCCCTAACCGTGAACCTTGGTGGACGTTGGCATTTGGTTTGGCGGCTTGT